ATTTCGTAAAAAGCGGTCACAAAGCATCTTGGGAGGGGGTGAAGGGGGAGGTTGTGTGGAATTCTTGCTTTTTATGGGACCTAAGAGGCAAAACCCTATCTAATATGTTTTGTCTCATCACTCTAGCCTTTTTAGAAGTACCCGTACTTTTTGACACCCACCTCAGAAGTAGCTATATATATAATGTAAAATAGGATGGTTTTTGAAGAGTTTTACAAAATATGAATAAAATATAGAATTATAAACGGGAAATTCAAATTACTGCAAAGCCTGGTGGGTAGCGTGGTAGTCTGATAACCAAAAGACTATTGGATCGATGCTTGCCTAGATATTGTTGTACTTTTCGTTTTTTGGATTATTGTAAAAAAATTTTTTTTTATTTTGTTTAAATTTTTTGTTTTATTTTATTTTATTTTTACCGACCGCATTGTGTATACAATAGGTTGGTTATGTGATGGCAACAAATTTTGCATATCGAGTTTTTGGGTGGAAATGCACTTTTCCATGGTAGGGAAATGTAAATAAACTATTTTTAGCAACCTGTCGGTCTGTCGGTCTGTGTGAGCAAGCGTGTATCTCAAGTTCTGCTGGACCGATTTTGATGAAATTTTATATGTAAGTTTATTATCACCATGGCACGGATCGATCAACTTTTGAGATATATCAGCCCTCGGGAACTGCACGTTTTAGCGGGCCTGTTTTACATTTTTGAACATTTTGAAGAAAATATTCAATCGATTTGCTTGAAATTTCATATATGAGCTTTGCTCGACCGTTCGTGAAAATTCCTAGCTTTTGGAAGAAAGCAGAGATCAGCAACTGGAGGTTTACTACGGGCCAAACATACACTTTTGTGTATATAGAAATAATCAACCGATTTCATTGAAATTTAATATATGAATTCCTCGTATGAAAACTATGAACATATAAATTTTTTGGAAAGATCAGGGCTCGAAAGCTGATTTGCGGGCCGATTTTACATCTTTCACCATTTTGAAGAAAATATTCAACCGATTTACTTGAAATTACATATTTGAGTTCTGGTTAACTGGCAAGCATTTCTGGGAATTAGGGTAGCACAAAGCGAAACTCTACTAAGAGCCAAATTTACATTTTTCTAGGTATGTTAACTATAAGCTTACTAATATTCTAAAAATTGGAAAGAAGTATTTAGCAGACATTTTTATAATATTCTGTAACACTTTCACTTAACTAGACAATACATATTGCGGTCGGTTATGTGCTGACCACATCAGATTTTTTTTTTGCTATTAACATAATCTTTAAAATAGGAAAAAACTTAATTAAACAGCTCGATAACTCATTTATAAATTTAACAAAAGAAATTTTATATTTTAAATGTTAAAACTAAAAAAAAAAATCTGATGTGGTCAGCACATAACCGACCGCATTGTGTATTGTCTAGTTAAATGAAAGTGTTACAGAATATTATAAAAATGTCTGTTAAATACTTCTTTCCAATTTTTAGGACATTAGTAAGCTTATACTTAACATACTTAGAAAAATGTAAATTTGGCTCTTAGTAGAGTTTCGCTTTGTGCTACCCGAATTCCCTGAAATGCTCGCCAGTTAGTTTCGATAACAACCAAAACTCAAATATCAAATTTCAAGAAATTCCATAAATTTGTTCTGTGGATATGGTGAAAAATGTAAAATCGGCCCGCAAATCAGTTCTCGAGCCCTGATCTTTCCAAAAAATTTATATGTTCATTGCTTTAATATGAGGAATTCATATATTAAATTTCAGTGAAATCGGTTGATTATTTCTCTTTATATACACAAAAGTGTATGTTTGGCCCGTAGTAAACGTCTAGTTGCCGATGCCTGATCTTTGCAAAAAATTTACATGTTCATTGTTATAATACGAGGAATTCATATATTAAATTTCAATGAAATCGCTTGATTATTTCTCTTTATATACGCAAAAATGTATATTTGGCCCGTAGTAAACGCCCAGTTGCTGATGCCTGATTTCTTCCAAAAGTTAGGAATTTTTGCGTATGATCGAGCAAAACTTATATATGAAATTTCAAGTAAATCGCTTGAATACTTTCTTCAAAATGGTGAAAAATGTAAAATCGGCCCGCAAATCCGTTTTCGAGCCCTGATCTTTCCAAAAAATTTATATGTTCATTGTTTTAATACGAGGAGTTCATATATTAAATTTCAATGATATCGGTTGATTATTTCTCTTTATATACACAAAAATGTATATTTGGCCCGTAGTAAACGTCTAGTTGCCGATGCCTGATTTCTTCCAAAACATACGAATTTTTGCGGACGGTCGAGCTGAGCTTATATATGAAATTTCAAGTAAATCGGTTGAATACTTTCTTCAAAATGTTCAAAAATGTAAAACAGGCCCGCTAAAAAGTGCAGTTCCCGAGGCCTGATATATACCAAAAGTTGATCGATCCGTGCCATGGTTGAAACAAACTTACATATAAAATTTCATCAAAATCGGTTCAGCCGAACTTGAGATACACGCGTGCACACACAGACCGACAGACCGACAGACCGACAGACCGACAGACCGACAGACCGACAGGTTGCTAAAAATAGTTTATTTACACTTCCCTACTATGGAGAAGTACGTTCCCACCGAAAACTCGATATGCAAAATTTGTTGCCATCACATTACCTACCTATTGTTTACACAATACGGTCGGTAAAAAGAGAAAAAAAGAACTAAAAAAAAATTTTTCGAATTTTAATACTCGTTAAATGAACTGTTGTATTCGTTGCAAAATGGGGACTAACTTTACGTAGCACATTAAATTAATGTAAATTTTTCCGTTTTGACTTGGTAATTTACGGGCGCGTTAACATACCTATAAAAATGTAAATTTGGCTCTTAGTTGAGTTTCACTTTGTGCTAACCGAATTTTCCGAAATGCTCGCTAGTTAGTTTCGGTAACAAACAGAACTCAAATATCAAATTTCAAGAAATTCCATCAATTCGTTCCGTAGATATGGTAAAAAATGTAAAATCGGCCAGCAGATCAGTTTTCGAGCCCTAATATTTCCATAAAAATTTATATGTTCATTGTTTTAATACGAAGAATTCAAATATTAAATTTCAATGAAATCGGTTGTTTATTTCGAAAAACCGGAGCCATTGTAGACCATTTGATATTGTTTTATTATAAGAAACGTTTTCTTTATTATTTGTTGTTACATAGAATTTGTTATTATTTATCATACTATGTGTCAAACGTACTAGATTTTGGGGGACTTTTAAATTTAACGGCATGTTTATTAACCCATCAATCCACACTGAATTAAGCGCCTTTTCAAGGTCAACGAGGCAACCTCCTACGGCGAAGCCATCGCTTATATACCAATATATATCTGACGTTACCTTAGTAATTCCATGTACGGTGCTAAGTTTATGCCTAAAATCAAATTGATTTTCAGCCATTATGTCATTTTCGTTAACAAAATTATTAATTTTTTCGTTTACTATAGCTTAGATTATCTTGCTTGTATTTGGCAATAGGCTGAATAGTTCGGCAATAGAACTGCTGGGAATCGTAGGATCCTTTCCTGGTTTCTTAATCAAAAACTCGCGTTTTTGTCCATATGTTTGGAAAATAAGAATAATTAAGTGGATTGTTGAAAATAATTACATATTTATTCATAATTTCGTCGCCTATGTTTTTAATTACTATGTTAGAAATATCATTCATTCCAAATGATGTTTTATTTTTTTAAATTTTTAATTATATTTTTAAGTTTTTTTAAATTTGTGAAAAAGGTATTATTCTCATTTTGTTGAGAAGCCCTGTTATTTTCATTGAAATTCGTGAAAGTGTTTGAATTTGTTCTTTTGATGCTATTTATAAATTCTAATATGAAAAAAGTCGTTAGGCAACGTTTTTGTATGTGTGTTCTCAATACGTGAGCTCAATACATTATATATGTCTTGTTAATCTCTTAGGATATATTTATTTTCGACAGTTTTTTTTGGTGTAGTATGGTCCATAACGTTTGCTGTTAGAAATGCACAATCGTCTACATGTAAATTATTGATATTTAAGTAGCTTTTCGGTAAGGGATTTGGGGAGATTTTATTTAAAATGCTTTTCAGTAGTTGAATTTGTTGCGATGAAAAATTTAAATTTCTTTTTTTTGATTTTGTGTATATCGTTCATCAAGTTACTTTTTTTTAAGAAGTTTTTTTAAAAAAATAAAATAAAATTTAGCGACATTATTTCGAGTTTTTATTTTTGGAATTAGTTCATTTATTGTTTATAAGTTGTACATGATCTATTTTTTATAAGCGGTATTCAATATTTTCTATAACTAAGTTTGTAATTGTCAGAAATTTTGTTATCAACTTAACTTAATGGAAATCTCTTCATGCAACTCCAGAACAGATGGATGACGTAATCAAAGAATTTTTATCAAAGTTTCACTGTAATAATTCAAAATTTTGGTTTTAATTGTTTTTTAAATTTTTTCCAATTAGTTTATCTAAACATATACTTATGTATCATTATCTGGCAATTCTTTTAATAATATGTTGTCATTTGTCAGAGAGAATTCAATTTTAATGGCATAGTGATCACTATCATAAGGCATAGTTAGTGATTGGTTGCCAGCATCAGGGTATTTTACATTCAATCTTATATCAGCAGGGAATGTCCACCAAGGTTTTCATTGAAAGTTAGGGCTTTCCCTCTGACAGTACTATTTTATATAACTTATTCAAAAAATTTCATGACACTTTAAACACATCTGCCGCCGGTGTTGATAAAGATTTACAAGCATTTAGGGCGCATATGAAAAGCATGACAAGGACTGTGAAACAACTTTTTTTGTACTGTCAAAAATGTTCGTGGACTAAGTACTAAAACTAACACCGTTCTGTTTAACTCTTCTCTTTGTGACTGTGATATGTATGTTCTAACGAAAACTTGGTTGCTTTCCTCCATCAATAATCTTGAATTATTCAACTCTTCATTTTCTGTTTTTAGAAAGGACCGACATGGACTTCTTTTGCAGGGACACACATCAAAGGAAGGTGGGGTATTAATCGCCGTTAAAAACTCGTTATCAGCTAGTAATATTGACATGAGGAACCATTTTTGATTTCAATTGACTGTTCTAAAGAGTTGGAGTTGTCCTTTTTAGATAACTTTCATTTAAATAATTTGCAACAAATATCCCCAATAACAAACCATCAATCGAAGAAACTGGATCTAGTCTTTACTTCCAATTGGTATAATTGTTTACCTATAACTGTCCCGGGTCCGTTGGTTAACGTTGATATCTATCATTCTCCGACATCTTTCTTTTATTGCATTGACGACCCGCCATTTATTAACGAGTCCCTTTTCTATTGTTTTGATTTTAAAAGGGCGAATTTCACATCGCTAAATGATTTCTTTTCTACTTGCGACTTCTCTTCAATATTTAACTTTACTGATATTGAGTCTATAACGGGTAAGTTTTACGAAATCATTTTTGCTGCATTTGAATTGTTCAGTGCTGAAAACTAAAGATACTGACTCTGGCTCTCCATGGTTTTCACAAGAATCGAGGGCACTTCGCAACTAAAAGAATAAGCTGTGGGGCAAATATTTCTCCACTAAATTAGCATCAATTTAAATTAGCAGCAAAAGAACGTTACAAATAATATATCTATAAAACTTCGAATAACTTAATACGTAATTCCAAAGTTTTTTGGAAGTTCATAAACCATAACAGAAGAAGTGATAGTTATCCAACCATCTTGAAATTCGACGGGAATACAAGTAATAATTCCCAAACTGAATCTTACCAAGCTGAATTTTACTGTTTTTTATGTTTCCAATTAGATGTTGACGACTTTCGTCACATTGATAACTATCTTAAAACTATGTTTACAAATTTTTTCACGAACTTTTTTGCGGTTGAAAAATATCTTTCCAATTTGGGTTCTTGTCCTTCTCCTGGACCAGATGGAGTTCCTGAGATTATTTTGAGCAGGTGCTGCTCTTCTCTTGCGCTCATCTTAACCGTTAAATTTTAAAAAGTCTTATTCTTCCATGTAGAAGGAAGCTTTCATTAGGCCAATCCAAAAGAAAAACTATAAAAATGACGTGTCAAACTACTGTTCTATAGCTTAACTCTCCGCAATTCCTAAGGTTTTTGAGTTGATGTTATATGACAACATTTATTTCCATTGTATGCCACTCATTAGTGTGCGTCGGCATAGATTCTTGAAAAAGAAATCCACGGTGACTAACATAGTGGAAGCCACGACAGTTTTCTCAAATAATATGGAAAATGGGTACCAGACAGACGTAATTTACACAGACTTTAGCAAAGCAATTGACTACCACATCACGTTATTATTTTGAAATTGAAACTCTTGGGATTCCCTGACCATTTCTTGGCCTGGATAAAGTCATATCTCTCTGGTAAGACTTACAGAGTCCTCTTTCGTCTAATTCTGGTGTAGGTTACCTTCGTGTATTCTGGTAATAGTTACTTACAACATCTTTAATTGAAATTATGAACAGCAGTAGACCTATGCTGTTCATAATTTCAATTAAAGATGTTGTTTCCATGTTAACGCACAATGAGATATTAATATATGCTGATGACATGAACATTTTCATGTCATCAGCATACATTCAGTTCATACATACATGCTTATGAACTTAAAATTTTTCTGAATTTTTCCAAACTGTTATAACAGTATTTTTATAGATATTTTTTTTAAAACTTTTGTATAAATTGTTATATTATATTTAAACAACTAAACCTCCCTTAACCTACTTTAAGAACTAACTTTAGTTAGTCACTAACTTTTTTTTTTTTTTTAATTTTTCTCACAAAGCATCTGTTATGACTATCCTAACCACCAACATCACCGAGTGATTAAACTGTCGTTAGCGAGTATATTCGTACCATAGTTAAGACTTTCTCCGTCTATATTAGCTGGATTATAGTTCAATTGTTTTACATGTCTTTTATAATGGTATAGAAGAGAGACATGCTCTTGGTTTTGTATAAAACCATATTTATCTAAGTAAATCAAATGCTCAAGAGCTATAAATTCTGTGAGCAGTGTACTTTTTATGAATTCTTCATTATGCTAGAATAAATGTGATATTAAACCATTCTCTGAGGTACTTAATGCACTTTCTCTCAAATACCCTAAATTTCTCCATGAGGCCGGAGCTTATACTGTACCATATAGGTACACCGTATTATAGTGTTGGTCTAACTAGACTTTGATAAGCTATGACTTTAACCCAGGTGGTAAGTGTACTATTGTAAAATAGTTTCTTACACACAGGCTTTATTACCATTTTGAAGTGACATTTCAACAGGTTCAATATATTTTGGATTTCTGTGTAATTGAACTCCACACACAATTTTACACACTCTTTGTTTCTTATTGTTGTGTTGTTTGGGCCCTTTGTTTTAATTGTTTTCCAGTTTTTGTGCTTATCTGTACATTTTTTGTGTGCTTATCTGTATACTTTTAGATAAATGATTGTTTTTTGAATATATTATGATATCATCAGCAAAAGCCAGTGTATAATTCGCACCTTTTGTTCTGTCTAGCATCTTTAATAGTTCCATTATGTATAGCAAAAACAAAACCGGTGAATTAACTGCGCCTTGTCGTATACCATTTGATATTTTTTTATTATAAGAAACGTTTTTTTTATTATTTGTTGTTACATAGAATTTGTTATTATTTATCACAATGTGTATCAAAGGTACTAGATGTAAGGGAAATTTAAAATTTAACAGCTTGTATATTAACCCATCAATCCACACAGAATTAAGCGCCTTTTCAAGGTCAACGAAGAAAACTCCCACAGCAAAGCCGTCGTTTATATATCAATATAATATACCTTAGTAATTGCATGTACTGACCTATATTTTTTGATTTTCAGGAATACTATACATGCTAGTATATACTGAAATATAAAAATATAAACTGAATTATATACTGATTATAAAAAAGTAATATTATTAGTAATATATTAAAAAAAATAAAATAAAAAATTTAAACAAAATAAATAAAAATTATCCAAAAAAAAGAAAAATACGACAATATCCAGGCAAGCATTGATCTAATAACCTTCTGCTTATCAGGCTACCACGTTAACCACTAGGCTATACAGTGGCTTGAATTTGCCTTTCTAATTCCGTATTTTATTCATATTTCGTATAACTCTTTAGAAAACATCCTGTTTTACATTATGTATATGTAGCTACTTCTCTGGTGCCAAAAAGTACGGGTACTTCTAGAAGGGCTAGAGACATGGGACAAAAAGCATTACGAGAACTTCAGCCATTCTCCCCCATCTGCACCTTCCAAAATAATCTTTGACCGTTTTTTACAAAATGGTGCACCTTTCTTTAGGGATAATTTGTATTTATTTTTGACAGTATAAATATTAACTGCAAATTAATTCTGGAAGTGTGAGTTATAAGAAGAAGTTTAAACTTCCTTAAGAAAATTGTTAAGACTAATAAAATGTACGTTGTTTTATAAGAAGTATGTACGTACGCATTTGCTTATATATTATTTTCGGTATTTTGTGCAAAGTATATTAGTAAGCAAAACATAAGTGTACATTAAATTTCTTGACAATGTATTTCTCGAACAAAATTTTGTAAGAAAATATTATTTTATTACTTTAAAGTTAGAGGCGGACACTCGCTGATGTTGATTTTCAGGAGTAAAACCTTTTTATTTTCTTTTTAAATAGGAAAAAAAAATAAAATTGTCAATAAAAAAAAAGTTCATATGACAATTCGTAAATTTCAGTGTTTGAACGTGAAACCTTTTGCACAAAAATCGTATGCTATACGCATTGACCTATATATGATTAGTATTATCTAATTATACATTAATGCATTTTATTCGCATGCATCATAGAATCTAAATATATATGTACATGGATTATAATTTATAGGGAATTATTTAATGCGTATGCAGTAATTGATCGCTTATAGTAAAGCGGTCAGTTACTGTATACGCATTGTTAAAATAAATTGCTCAGAACATATTAGATCTAAAATGAGCTAATCATTTATTAATTATGTACTTTTTAGCACTTTTCCAAAAATTTTTTGAAAAAAAGTGATTATTAGTTTCACTCTGTCCGTCCGTCCGTCCGTGGACACTTTTTGTTTACAAAACTTTTACACCCTTGAAGATAGAAAGCTGAAATTTAATACGTACATAGATCTTTACTAAAAACTTATTTCCGTAGAACAAAATTTTTACCTATCTCCCCCACCTCTAGAAGTTATACCCCCTCAAAACCCTAAAAATGGCCTTTTTTAACAATTTGTTGCAATAAAACCATATATATTTTTTAAATTTTGCAAACGACGAAAGGCAGCGGCTTGCTTTCTCTAGCGCAGTATACTACAGGTAAACTTTAGAAAAACAAAATGGCCGCTCAAATTTACCGTTATCTTAAGTCATTGTTTTTTAAATTTTTGATTTCGTTTTCCTTCTAGACCCCAGCCAGTAGGAGCTTGAAATTTTAGAGGCTTTTAGATATTAACAAATAGTTTATTTTGCTTAAAGGAAATTTTTTTCCATTTCCATCCCGTCTCAAGCTATCGCCTATTGAAATTTGTAACATTTGAATATTTGACACCTTATATTTCCGAAACCGCAAGCTTTTTCAAATTTCTATAAACGCAAAAAACTAACGGTAAATTTAATGACATTAAAAAATATAATTATTTTTCTTAACTCACACAATTAAACCTTAAAATCGAGCATTATGTTAACCCCACTTTATACTAATTTTTGCTTTATTTCAAATACTGCATAAATCGTTCATCCTAAATATATGCAATCCTAAAAATAGTATCATATATGAATGAAAATATTTTTGATAGTGTGGTAGATATACATAGACTGTATTTAAAACCAGAATTTTCACTTGTTGAAGGGAAAAAAGCTACAATACAAACCATTGGTTTGACCCAACTTTATTTGTAATAAAATTTATGAGCTTTTTTCTTTTAATTTTATATTTTTATATATTACGAAAAAACATATCTATATGTATATTACGGTGGTGTTTTTGAAGAAAAAACAAGTAAAAGCGTTTCAGTTT